ACAAAATATGTATATGTACATATAACAGGAAATGTATACGATTTCATGGACCGAAACATTTTTTCTAAACTACAATTCTACTTTCCCTACAACAAAAGCTTAATTGTCGAAACAGATTCTTGTTCATGCATTTACATAAACAATCATTTGGAAAATTTCCCCAGAACAGAAATTAAGCTTTTATGCGGGGAGAAAAAAAAGGTGTTAACAGTAGAAGGTGTTTTCCTAAATTTTTATGTGTTTTGGGCTGTATAACAGCAGTACAAAACACAATTTGCGAATCGCAAAAGCTAGAAAGCTGAAAATTTAGGAAAATGTTCCCCACCGACTTATGACTACGCAAATTTAAATTCAAGGAAGCAACGAAAATCAGCAGCAGGCAATGTGGTTCGGTGAGCAGAATTGCGCAAAACGCATGATCGCACTGGCTGCCCTAGTGCGTGCTGCTATTTATATTATTCATCTTACCATCATTTCATTTTTCTGATCATAATTGTGACACTGGCATCATTATTTTTGCTCAAAAACATGACGATTTTTTGAGAAACAAAAAAAAAAACTCACCGTAAATTTGTCCATCATCAGCACTTTCATGCCAGGCCCGGCCAAGCGTACCATTTCCGAAATGTACTGCTGTGCCACCGTAACAACATTCATCGTGATTCATAAGTTTCAGCAGCCCTTGAAAGTGTCAGTTATCATCGCACATCTAGAACCCCTGGAAATACACGCCAGATTAGCTGCAATGAATGGCATGGTTCAGCAGCTAAATAGCAGCAGCTGACCCCCGTTTTTCAATTTCTTTGATATTTGTAGCGAAGTGGCTATTTTGCTTACCAGACAAGCAGCGAAGCTGAAACTTTGCAGTGATATTCTATATGTTATTGACCAATTGCCAGAGTGTTGGTTTTTCCAGTTCAGCGGCTCTTCTGACACAGAAGCATCTGACAATACTTGTCGTATATATGCGCTAAAAAAGCAATCTTTGCAGATAGAACCGGAAGAAAAACATAACAGATTTCGACCTATTTCACCGTCATAATTACCCACTATCGCAATAAGTCTAACACATATTTTAGTTTGGAGGGAATGACGAAATAGCACAGAGTTTGTGGAGGGTGCATGAACTAGTTTTTGAA